ACAATACAATTAAATCCAAGATTACGGAATAAGTTTTATAAATAAAAATTACATATTCAAAATCTATATCAAGTGTTCTATAAAGTCAAAAAGTCAAAATTATAATATAATAATAAACAATACGCTAAATAAGTAAATTATGTAAAATTGTATTGGCCTATAAAACCCGACTTTACAAATCATTTTGAAAAGGGAGTACTATATTTTGCAAATCATTTCATCACAGAGTTGTACTATTTAACACAATATATATTATAAAAATTTACTTTTGAGACTTCATTGTCCGCATTAATCGAGATTCGGATCGGAAACTCGACTTAATTGGGATTCTAGTGTCAGGATCCCGACTGAACCGAAACGGGGTTTACGATCATTTTGTTTTTTGAATCAGGGTCAGAATCATCACTACCCTACCCCTAATTCAAACTAGGGGTGGGTTCGGTTCAAACAGTTTAGTTTTCACCTAAAACCAAATACTGAACCAAAGTAAAAAGTTCAGTTCGGTTTTATGTTCACAAATTTGAAATCACGGTTTGTTGAATTCGATTTATTTCGGTTTGGTTTCGTTTTTTGCGGTTTTTACCAACGTATTTTTGTTGAATAGAAAAATAGTAATTGAAAAAAAAAACTACACCAAACTATTTGTAGTAATGCAATACAAAAACATACATAATTAAAAAAGAGAGAAGAAACAAATGCACTTCCAAGCAATGAATTACAGAGTATGTGTATACCAATTTAAACATTTTCTAAATTAATTAAACGCATGAGTTTATTTGTAAATTATATAAAGAGTATTTACAAGTTAAAATTTTATTAGTAAATAACTTATTCTATTTTTTTTAATCAAATATATTTATGCTCTAAGGTTTCACATTTTCTGCTATATGTTGTTTAAAGTAAAATTTATATTAATACATATTTGTTCAATATAAAAAATTATGTTATAACAAACATACATAACATGTAACATATCAACAAAGTATCATTGTCATGCCACAAGCAAAATGTAAATTACAATTTAAAATATTAACATAGTAGTATTATAGTAATAGACTTAAGTTTATGTACTAGTGTTTCACTAAATTATACAATAAATATTAAATGTCAATATCTTGCAAATCATGATAAATCTAGTATCAAACATTAATTTTCTAGAATTAAGAATTAAGAACTAAACAAAATATTATACTTAATGATTAATAAATAAAATAACAACTTTTAAAAAGTTCGTTTTTTTGGTTCGGTTCGATTTTGAGATGTGAAAACCGAAACCGAAACCAAACAACTACGGTTCAATTCGGTTATTTGAGATCGGTTTCGGTTTTCTTGCGGTTGAGTTTTTTTTGTTGCGGTTCGGATTCTTCTAATTCTGTTTTCGGTTTCTCCGACCCACCCCTAATTCAAAAAAATTCTTTTTCCTTTTAAATCACAAATAGGCATCCCACTTTACACATTTGCTCTACTTTTCAACCCCATGATCGGGAATAAAACTATACATATCTGCAATACAAAGAATACATGGTAAAAACTAGGGATGGACTGGGCCGGGCCGAACCGGCCCGGAACCGGACCGGCCCGCTACTGTGCGGGCCCGGACCGGGCCCGGTTGGCCGGTTCCGGGCTTTTAGCCCGTGTTGGCGGGTCGGGCGGGCCGGTTCTGGGCCCTATTTTTGTTGAACCGGCCCGGGCGGTTCGGGCCGGGCCCGGTTCATTTTTATTTTATTTTTTGGTTTTTTCAATTTTTTTTCTTTTCCTAGGGTAGGGCTGGGTGTTTTAGGGAGGTTTGGGGCGTGGGGGTGAGGGGGGGGGGGGGTAGGGAGATAACAAGAAAGTCCAAAAAAAAAAAAAAAAAAAAAAACATTGAACCGGGCCCGGCCCGGACCCGGTATCAACCCGGGCCGGTTCCGGGCCCATGTAACCCGAAAAAAAGCCCGCCCGGGCCCGGCCCGGAACCGGAACCGGACCGGGTCCATCCCATAGTAAAAACAATACATGAGAACCATAAACTTCAGCATCATTATTAAAATGTAGTGCAACAAATAACACGGTAACACCGATATAGGCAAGGATCAACAAAGTTGGCCACTGTTAAGGCGTAAAGTTTAAAAAAGATTGCATAAGCTATATCTGGAGACTGGAGGAGTATTTGCAAAATTGCAGGTGGTTGGGAGTAACAAAAATGAGATCTACTCTCCACGGTGACGTTGAAATTTTCAGGAGACTTTAGAGGTACAAGGCTGAGAGCAAAGTGGTTATGATTGCTTTGGGCTGCATAGTATAACCATTTGGAAGGAAAAGGACTTGGGGGGTCTTTGGAGTTTGGAGGCATTAACTTAAATGTTGATGATATGATAAAACAAATTAAGGAGGGGGCTTATAGAATTTTTGTTTTGGTTGAAATATTTAGCTTTGGTGATTTTATCAGTAGCATGACTGCATGAGGCCTGTTATAGTGTTATGTGGGTCGAGAGCTTGCTCTTATGCTTCAAACTGCACGGAGTAGTTTTTAACTTTCACCCAAAAAGAAACAAATATGAGTATAGAAAAATATAGTGCAATAGGAAGCTAAGAGTAGTGAAATGGCATTCACAGATTTGTCAGCTTCTCCACTTTTCTTGGTAAACTTTAGGAAAAATGCTATTTGTACACGCTGGTCTAAACCAGGCGTGGACTCAGTCCGGGTCGGGCCTAGGCCCGGGCGGGCCGGCGGTTCAGGATTGGTAGACCCGGGTCCGGGCCGGGCCTCCGGTTTGGGTATTTTTTTTTTTTGCTTTCCTAACCCCGCCCCCCTCACCCCCCCCCCCCAAACCCCTCCTAACCATCAAGCCCAACCCGGGTGGAACCCCAAAAAATGAAAAAAAAAATCAATTTGGCCCGGACCAGGGGCCGACCCGGCCGGGCCGGTTCGCCAAATGTGAGACCCGAGCCCGGACCCCCCCCCCCAGGGCCTAGGCCCGACCCGGACCCGAGAACCGGGTCGATCCCGGTCCCGCACAATAGCGGGCCGGGTGGCCAGACCCGAATCCACCCCTAGTCTAAACGCCAGTTTACACGCCCAAATGTAAGGATGGACCGGTTCCGGGCCGACCGGCCCGTGGCCCAGCCCGGCATTATTTGGAACCGGCCCGGCCCGGCCTAGCATTTTTTGGAACCAGCCTGGCCCGACAACCGGGCCCTGGACCGGTCTGGTTAGGCCCGAACAGGGTGTTACTAAGGGCGGGCTAGGGTCATGGAAAATAGGAACTGGCCCGGCCGCGCCCGGTTCAGGCCTTTTTTTAGTTTTTTCAATTTTTTATTTTTCCCGGGTTGGGCTGGGTGTTTTGGGGGGGTGAGGAGGGGGGTAGGCATGGACCCGGTTTGGGCCGCCCGGCCCGGGACCGGCCCGGCCCGGCCCGGCCCGCCACTGTGCGGGCCCGGGACCGGCCCGGTTCTCGGGTCCGGGTCCAGGTCGGGCCTAGGCCCGGTGGGGGGGCGGGTCCGGGCTCGGGCCTTGTATTTGGCAAACCGGCCCGGCCAGGTCGGGCCCGGGGCCGGGCCAAAAATTGTTTTTTTTTTTTTCATTTTTTTGGGCTTTATTGAGTTGGGCTTGATGTTTAGGACCGGTTTGGGGGGTTTGGGGGTGGGGGGGGGGGGGGGAAGAAAAGGAAGAAAACATAAACTAACCGGGTGGCCCGGCCCGGAACCGGTGGCCACCGGTTCAGGCTCGGGCCCAACGAAACAGACCCGAGGCCCGGCCGGGCCTAGGCCCGAACCGGGCCCGAACCAGCCCGGGTCCATCCATGGAGGGGGGGTAGAATCCTGGGCCGGTTCCGGCCCCCCAAAAAACCCATTTTGGACCGGACCGAAGCCCGATCCGGCCCGGAACCGGTCCATCCCTACCCAAACAATTGATTTTAATTTTAGTGAACAGAAGTGTCTGTGACCTCGAATTATCTGCACACAGACACTTAGTTTGTACAGACAATTATATTTGCGTGTGTTTTAGGAAAATCTCCTAGATATTCTTATTAAGTGAGTCATGTATTAATTGACGATGAAGTGACTAATGACTATGAAGTGAGTCATGTATTAATTGACGACAATTAGAATGGAGAAATGTAGAAACTTTAACCATATTGAATTTTGGGGCGATCACTGACAAGATCTCTCCAAAACTAACCACCTGCATAATTTGACCAAGATGCCTGTGTCCCTTTATTGCATTAGATTGATCACTACATTGAAATCAAAACAATTTTGTTCACTACATTGAAGGGCGATGTTTACCCTCCATGCATTGCATGGTAATTCTTTGTTTTTTTGCAATTGTACAACTTTTCATTTATGGTCCAATTTTTACAAAAAAAAAAATAATATATCAAAATTTATACGGAGTATAATTTTTTATGATACCGATATTGCATATGTAAAATTTAAAAAAATAATCCAGCTAAACAGATAGTTAAAAAAAAGTCCAACTTATATATATGCAATATTGGTAGCATTTGAAAGATCATAAAATATTATTTAATTTGATACGTAGTATATTTTTTATACAAATTAGACCAGAAATTAAAAAGTCGTGGCAATCTGGGAAAAAACTGACATGCCATGTGGCAGGGGAGGGGTGAGCATCGCCCTCTAAAATCGGAGTCAAAATCAATGTCTCGGATACATTCTTAATTTGATGGAAAGTTAGTTTTTTTTTCAAAAAAAAATTATGACAATTTATTTCTCATGCACCAATTATAGGCTTTTAACCTAAGATAAGCTAATTCACCTTACTATATAAACACGCATATCACATTACTAGAATCTTATAGTAAAACCTAAGCTCATTTTTACCCCATGCACACTATAAATGGTCCAACTCAAATAGTGTCCCAAAATGCCTCTAAATACGGTGTATTTCTAACTTCTGACCACCCTTAAGGGAATTTTATTGACCTTCAAAATGCAAGAAGAATAACATGAGTTCACAAAAAGTAAAAAATGCAATGCTAGATAAAAATATAAAGTTGGAAATTAAAGTTGGTGGAATTCAAGTTATAAAGTGATGATAATTTGGGGTCGACAAAAAAAGAATGTACCTAACCAAATGGGACTAAAGTAGTAAATAGTAATACATCATGCCTTGTTTAACTACCAGTCCATCTTAATCCACAGAATTGCATAGGATTCCTTTTTTCCTTTTCTGACACAATATTCACATCTAGGCCGGATATGGTCAAATATTGAAACTATAGATTAAAAGATTAGATTAGCATTTGCTTGAATGGCCTTTACCTCCAAAATTTAAGATTAGAACTTAATAACTTGTTTAGGTTGGCTTCCCCGTTTTCCAAGTGCCTTATCCAAAGCGGTATGAAAATCATCGAACTGTACAACCTCCATGCTGCATGATAATTTTGTCATCTCATTAACTAATACTAATAAATTAATAATATTAATAATAACAGTAAAAATAGTAATAATATGCTTAACTCTGGAGTGTTATCAATAATATTCTGTGAGAAAGAAAAAAATGGAAAATTGGCAATGGATGTATGATGCCAAAAAAACAAATATCTTTCATCAGCCTCCAGAATTTTGCCATCAGTAATGTAAGAAGCATTTCGAGAAAAGGAAATTGCTTTAGTAGAATGAGATGAGGGTGTGACCGTGTGGGAGATAGTTATAGGGGATTGAGAACTCATACTCATAGGTCAGTTTGCTCTCACGGGCTAGGACTAAAAGATAATCAATCATGCCATGACACTCTTCAGCTTTATCTGGACTTAACCACTTTTGGAGCCAAAACCCTCTCAAAGAAAGCTCCTGCAAACATGACATTAATAATAGGGACTAAGGAGTATTACAAAAATCAAAACCAACTTTTCCCCAATTATGAGCAGAGTTCTTAGAGATAAAATTCAAACTATCCCATCAGTATGTAGTTTAATAGCCCAATATGTAGCATTCAAATTCTTTTCCTTTCAAACTACACTACCAGGTTTTGCAGATTAAGAAACTAGATTTAGATATTTCAAGTTTGAACATGATCAACTTATAGGGGATAATGTGGTTCTTACATAGGAGATTAGAGCTAAATGAATTATGTCACCATTTGGACAAACATTAATCTCAAATTTATTGGCTCACCTTTCGGAAGTCAAAACTCACTAAACTCATTTGTTCACATTAATATGCCCATGCAGATGAAACACTAAACCAACTTCCAACCCCATTTTGTGGGATCAATTTTTGGCTTATCAAGCAATTTTTTCACTTCAGCCTTTTAAGCACAAAATGAACTCCAAGAATCATTTCTCATCAAGTTGATATAAATTATCGTAATAGAATGTTGACAAATCTTACCAAGCACAAAGCACCAACTGCTTCGTCATAGCAAGCAGTATCAGTTTATAAATGATGTCATATAAATCACAAAATCAGAATTATACCTTATATAAATCACAAAATCAGAATTATACCTTAAATATAAATAAACTTGTCGGTACAGTTATTGGTTTCTTTGACATGCCCCCATATGTAACCATAGTTCCACCCTGCCTGAAACAAACATCTTAGCCTTTGATATCTGGGAAAAAACACTGATCAAATCTGGCCTATTGTTCACCTCAAGAATTTAAGGACCAGTGAAGCAGCATTTCCACCAACACAGTTGAGCCCCAATGCAGGTTCAGGTATACTGCCCTGTATCAGACAGGAGACAAATGGGATACAAAAAGTAAATTATTGAGTGAGGTTAAAGAAACAATTAGAAAATAAAATTATATAAAAGAAAACACAGAATGAGACGGAGAAAACACCTCGCTAATCAAGTAAGTTAGTGAAGTTGCCGCATACCAGAAGAGTCTTGATCTTTTTCATATCAAGCTGGCTCTCAGTAAATACTTCATCAGCACCAAGTTGTATGAGTTTTTCTCTCGCTTCATCTGATCCAGTCCTGTTCATAATAATCATTAGCTTTGTTGAGGTAAAGCATTTCGGAAGGGAGGTGAAAGTGAACACATTGTGTGGTTGCAGAAATTGGGGGGCAGGTAGAATGGGTTTATAAACCTCCAAACTCCTCATGTCTAAGTGTCTAACCCCCCATTCAGAGGATTCTGGAGGAGTTAATTTTTCTTTACTTTTTCCACTGTTTTAAAGGGAACTGATTATATATATATAAAAAAGGGAACTGATCTACAGTTTATATTTTACCATGCGAGGTTAATATATTTTATTGCAACATAACTTTATAAACATTTTTTTCAATTTTTTCACAATACAGATTCTTCTCCTTTTCCTTTGTTTTGGAGCACCTTCACTTTCCTCCCCCTCCCCTCTTTTGAATCAAAGACAAATTGTGTGAAAAAGAAGGCATTCCTCAAGCGTTTGGAATCAATGAAGTTGAAAATGGGGGTTGATTCAAGTAAATACCTGTCTCTAATGATGTTAAGACTGTGAATGCCTCGGACTCGAGCAAGTTGAATAACACATTGTCCCACGATGCTTGTGGCACCATTTTGCACAATAGAATCGCCTATATGTGCTCATAAATCAAAAGATGCATATTAAAAAAAGCAGCGGTAACTTGTTAAAAATGGCAATACCTGATTTTAATGCAGCAAAGTCCTCGAGCATTCTCAGGGCAGTCATTGGATTAACAATAACAGTGGCAGCATATTCCATTGGTGTGCCTTTGTCAACTTTATGCCAGAGACTTTGTTCTTTTACAACATATGTCTGCCATGTGCCTATACTAAAAGAAAAAAAAAATAGATGTTTTCCATGCATGTGACAGATGGGAAGTATATAACGAGCAGCATAAAACTTGGCAACTATACTTTTTTGCATAAATTTACAGTTTTGACTAATTTTAGAAAAATTAAATGACGCTAAATTTCACACCACCAACCCTACATTGTTGACATTAAGGTGGTGGTGGTGGATACTGAGCTAGCAGAATACAGAAGCTAACAGAATAAAAACAATAAAATATATGCAAAAGCCAGACTTCATGGTTTTTAAGAAAACAAATCTAATTGTCCAATGAAAGAGCAATATTGATAGAGAAAGAAGTAAATAAAACTAAAAGTCTGTGTTTCAAACTTCTAAGATCATAAATTAAAAATCTTCATGCCTGAAGTTGGTGGAAAGGCAATAACCCAATCTCCTGGTGAAAGAGACTTCACTCCAGCACCTATGGCATGAACCTCTCCAACTCCTTCATATCCTCCCACCGCTGGTAGTGGTGGCCTCACGGGATACACTCCTACGAAAAATAGTTTAATCATTCATTGTTACTTTTTATAACAGGATTTCAGCATAATACTTGTAACAAGAGTGTTAAGAAAGAATATGAATAGCCAAACCGATTTCAGGAAAAAGTGCAAATACATTGTCAAAACTGTCAGCAAAAAGAAGAAAAAATATCTAGTTTCCAACAGAAAAATTGTCTAGGTTACCATCCGTTATCATAAGTTACTTCACACAGTTCTAAAGTACAAGACCCCAGCATAAATATTGAAATTTCGGAACTTGTGCCTTGGTCATTGCAACAGGAGGCAAAACTAGCACATAATTCTAAAACTACGTACAAAACAAACAACTTCAAAAAACAAGAAATTTGGTGCAAAGTTAAGGAAACTCTACTCTGGGAAGTCAGTCTATGAGTCTACTTTAAAATGAGTCAAATGAATACTGTCAAAGACTCAAATGAATATTGTCAAAGACTTCAAACGCAATGGTTTTAACAACTTATGGAAAGTATGTTCATACAATAACGTTACTAAATACAGGATATATTATACTCCATATAAAAAATTCAAGATGAAGAAAGAAAGAGCAAGAAACGATTAAAACCTTCTATTCTGTTAATATCAGAGGGATTAATGGGAGCAGCAAGCATTCTAACGCATACATCGTTGTCTTTGATTTCAACTGGAGGAAGCTCAGTCACTCTGCAATGCAAATATTATCATCAGGGTACAGAAAATTATAATCTTAATATATGCTTAAACAGCAAAAGATATGCTCTGTATTACTCTCCTGCAGTGGCCGAGCCAAAGGTGTGTTGTTAGGGGGGCGGAGGGCTTTCAAAATTTCATTTTTAGAGATTCTAAACATTTACACACACACACACACATATGTACATAAAAACCTGGGGGCGAGGCCCCTCCACCTCTCCCTGTCTCCTGTATAACGGCAAATTGAGGAAGAAGCTGAAATTTTCATCACATTTGGGACTAATTGAACATTAAAGAAATGAGAGTGAGACCTGGTGACAGAATCCGGAGGGCCATGCTGATCGTAGACAATGGCCTTGGACGGCGGAGACATGGCAGTGGAAAATGCTCGGATTGCGGAGGTTGTGAGACGAGGAGTGAGAAAGGACCGCCATAACGGCGATTCCGTCGCGGAGAGGAGGCAATTTAGGGAGGGTAATCCAATTCTTAACATCAAGTCTAGCTTCCAAGATAAGCTTACTCGCGGATTTGGGAGTCAATCTTTTCTGTTTGGTGTTGGGTTAGCAGCTGTTTTGGGAGAAGTACGTGGTTTTCGTTCGATTTTTCTACCTTCGCGGCCTTATTTTTTAAGCTTTCCCCTCCCTCTTTCGCTGGCTTTCATCCTTCATTACCTTTCTATTTTGCACATTGCACCCGTTCTACTCTTTGCATTGATTTAGTTAGAGAAATTTGATGAAACACAGTGACCTGTTTCAAAAATAGGTTGACTCAATTTGATGAAATTTGATAGAAAAGTTTTATAAGTTTAGAAAATATTGTTATAATTTATGTCTAATTCAGCATATATCACATGCATAATCAAAATGTAAAGAGTCGATTAAGTACATCAATTTGTACGAGATGAAGTAAAGAGTACACTGTGTTACATCTGACATTATTAAGTACACGAACTTGAATTTTTAGTACTAATTGAGTACACTCGTTACATTAACACGTTAATATGGTTGAGTTAGCAAGACAAAGTCAGGTTGTGGTGTCCACCTTTAGGAAGTCGGCCTAAGAGGGAATGTCAACCAAGCTTTTGACATCGAATTCTGTCGACCTGCGGGGGGCATCGAACAGCTTGGGTGCATTGATCAAGGGAAGTCGACTTGCGGGGAGTTGGTGTCAAAGAAAGGTTGAGGGCATGCGTCGACCTTTAAAAAGTCAATCTATTACCATTTTGTTAACCAACTCAGCCGTAACACAAAAAAACTGAATTTGTGTATCCTCAATTGCAATTTAGAATACTCTTTATTCGAACTCGTAGAAATTGATGTACTCAATTGATCCTTTCCAGCAAAATAAAGATTGATCAAACCAGGTGAAAAGTGTGTGAGGATATCCACAAGAAAAATGTTACTTGTACCCGTCGACTTACACATTAATCAAATTCATTTTACAAATATGTATATTTAATCATCAAATATATTGTCACATGAAAATTAGTTCATGAGTAGAATTATGAACCAATCAACTAAACATCTTTTTTTGTATAATCCCTCCAACTTATGAATGCACTTTTTTTCTAAATAAAATATGGTAAATACTTCACGTCATTTACTACATCTATTTTTTTTTTGACAAAATTTACCACATCTAGTTAAAAACTAAATAAATAAATAAATAAATAATACTCCGTACTACGTAATAATTGTAAAAAATACTAATCCCAATAGTCACTATGTAAAAATTTAATCATAGGAGAAAGCGGTCTAGCTCAGCTGGTCACGACTCACTCTCCCTTATGGGAGGTCATAGACTCGAAACTCAATGGAGTGAGTTTCAGTCCAGATTACTCCAAGCATCCAAGACCCCCTCCCCCAGACGCCCCCTATAGTATCAAAAAAACTTAACCATAGATATAAATGTGAATTGAACATTTTTATCCTCGGGTAAATAATTTAATGTTATTAATAGATCTAATATCTAACAATTTAATTTAAAATATTTTCAAAATATCCAATGAGGACCCTTCCATGCATGTTTTCTCGCTTTTAGTTCAATGCCTAATTCATTAATTATCTCCTTTCCGTGCTTTTGGCTGTATGAATTGAAATAGTCTAAAAGGGTTAGAAAGTTTGTTTTATTTATTCCTTGTATGGGATCATGTGGAATATGAGTTTCAATATAAAGCCACATACTCCGCATATGTTAAGTTATTGGTATTCTTTATTTGACTTAAGTATTAAAAATAAATTCAACAATAAAACAAAAGGAAAGGTGATGTTATTTTTATTAACTTAAGTTATGATTTGTTATTTTAGTTCACAAGAATATAATGTGGATTTATAATCCAAAAAAGAACAATAAGATATCGAGAAAATTATGAATAATTATGCCGGTTTTGGGGTGTTAAACTTATTCCTCCATTTTATAAAATTTTGTCTTGGAAATTTACTTTTTTTTATGTATGGGATCTTGGAAATTTACTTTGAATCAAATTAGTACATATGCCATTATCATTTTAATACTATCTATAATAATTTGAAGCACGTTGTACTCAATTAAGTTTTTTTTTTGTTTGATTGTAATCAATTAAGTATTCTATCATTTTGTAACATTAAGTTGATGCATCTAAATAGAAATATAAGGCATCGTTGATATAAACTCATTATAAAAAATAAAGTTAAATGCAGTTTGGAATTTATGAAGGATTTTTAGTTTGCTTAAAACTTTAAAAAAAAATTATTTAGTAACTATTAATGACTATAATTGTATTTTGATTCACTTATACATCATAGTAAATACATATGAGTTACTATGATATAAACTTTGAACATAATAATAATTACTAATATTATTACCTCCGTCCCAAAAAACTTTGTCATTTCAAAAACTTTATACACATATAATTTTTATATACAATAAATGATTCTAAATAAAAAGATATAGTTCGTCAAAATTTTGAAAATGAAAAACTTTTTTGAAATGGATGTAGTATTAAGTAATATTTTTGTTGATTGATATTTGATTGGTACAAGTCATTAAAGGAAAAAATCCAATAAAATAATCTAAAAAAATTTATTTATCGTACGAAACTCTTTTAAAGAAAAAAACAAGTTCTTACAATTGAATACTCACGTGTATCTTTTCGCTAAAAAAACTGATTTTTTCTAAAAAGATGGAAAGTGTACTCTTTCGGCTCTTTCTGCTGATGAAGTGGGAAATAGTGAAATTCAAGCCCCGCCGGTGATGATGCGAGTGTAGCGTAACAATCTGCGCCACAACTTACCCTATAATAAAAAAAAACCTCTAAAAATAAATAAAATAAAAATAAATAAAATCAATTGGGAACAAAAAACATACTCCCTCCGTCCCGCTAAGATTGTCCCATTTTTCCTTTTCGGGAAGTCCCATTAAGATTGTCTCATACCAAATTTGGTAAAGATTGTGTGGCTCCAAATCATTCTTACTTTATTCTTACTTTATCAATTTAATATCAACCACACAAACCCACTTTTCTTAATAATCGTGTCACCTTCTTCGGTCCCAATCTTAGTGGGACGGAGGTAGTAAAGCTGATTTGAGCAAGTTCCGTTTGTCTCTGTCCCCATCTTCTTCTCTCCAAAGCCAAAAACTGGGGCAAAGGTTTGCAAAACTTCTTCTCCTCATTCTCTCTGTTTTTGCGCGCTCTGTTTTTTTATTTTCCCATTTCGATCAGAAACAGGGGAAATGAAATAAAAAGAGAGAAAGAGTCACCCGCATATGTATGAATACGCTCATACTGGATTCATTCATAAAGAAATAAATAGACCCAGAGAGAATCAAAAGGAGGCATGGGCTGTTTCCCTTGTTGCGGCGGAGATTCATCCACCAAGAGAGAAGATAAAAAGCGTAGCGCCTCCACCAGAAGAACCGAACTCAAGAGGGACGATTGCGTAGCGCCGGCTGCCTCTGGTACGATTTGATCTTCCGATAATACTCTTAATTCGAATGATTTCGGTTGGGATTTTTTTGTTCCTTTTGTTTTGGCATTTCGAATTACTGTTTTCGGGGTCTTTAAATAAGAGACAGTGATTTGTTTGGGAAGATATTATGAATTTTTAATTTGTGCTGGTGAAGCTCTTGGGATTTTTGAATGGTTTCCAATGATGAATTGACAGTTATCATTCTTCAGAGTTCATGGAATATTTTAGGTTCCATTTGGCTTCCTTCCCCTTCTTTCTCTCCAATCGACAGATTTGTTTTCCATGCTTTGATCATCACTTTCTTTGAAGAAGGCTCTGATTCTTGTTTCACGTGGAAGTTATGTTCCATCTATTCTTTTTGCATTTTGATTTTTGAATGTGGGTTTCTTGAAATTGAAATGAAGATTTTGTTCTGGGGAGTTTTTTTATTTTTTTGTCTTTTTTATGTTTCAGCCCAACCACCTTTTTAATTCTTAGTTTCTGTCATTCTGTGTTCAATTTGTTGAGGTGGAAGCCATTGGAATTTTGAAGGGTTTTTTACTTTTATGTTAAACTTTATTTGGTTATGTGTGTAAGTAGACGTGTACCATACTACCATAGCTCCTAATCTCCTATGAGTTCGCACTCATGATTCTTCAAAGTTAGTGGGAACCTTAGGTTTCATTTGTTGTCAATATTCAATGCTTAACTTAAGTACATACATTCAAACTATGATCATGAATATGTGTTGATTAAAGGTTTGATTTTTTTTTTAAATCTGCACTTTGTAGGTTCGTTGTCCCATTGAATTTTGGGTAAGTTTTGTTTTTGAACTTCCATTCTTTGGAAGAGTCAGTAGGAAGTATATACCATGACTTATTCATAGTTGTTCTGTAGATTTATTCTTCTTCTCGAATGGTTAACTACTTTGATGAGAATCACAATTCTTTTTGGTTTAGCTCTATTGGTGTCCCCTTTTATGTCTTGTTACTATTTGTTATTCAAATGCTATGTTCTCTTTCAATGTCTTAAATGGTGACCTCTTTTACCTTATGGTTTAGAGACACCAACAAGGGTTAGCCCTTACCAAGGTGCAAAGGAGGAGTGTAATGAAGCAAGGCAGTCCACTTCAGGAAAGGAAGAGGAATCTGGTCAAAGAGTTTCTGAAGGAGGGGAATCTGAAACAGTCAAGGCTAAGACATTTACCTTTGCTGATTTGGTGGCTGCCACAGAAAACTTCAACCAAGAATACTTTTTGGGTGAAGGTGGCTTTGGCAAAGTTTATAAAGGTCGATTGGTAGATACTGGCCAGGTAGCATTTGTACATTCACTTAGGGTTTGTTTGGTTTAGGGTTTTTGGAGAAGAGGATGATATTTATTTTGTTAGTTCATTTTTATTTAAATAAATGGTCTGAAAGAAAGTGAAGATGAAAAATTATAAGAAATACATAACTAAACAAATAGTTATTTTACAACTGAAGACTAATAAATAAAGATAAAACACCAACACAAAAATAAACCCTTTGTTCCCCTCCAAATTCATCCACCCGAACAAGATTTTAGGGTCTATTTTATTGGAGTGTATCAGATGTCTTTGAATGCTTTGGAAGGCTCAGTCTATGTCTTGATAAATATAATGTTTCTAAAAATGTATGAAGGAGATATGAGTCGTATATGAAGGGTTCTTCTTTTTAATTTTTATAGTTCTTGAATATATTTCATGATATAGACCTACCCCTCCAAAACCTT